ACATAACGATTTTCAAAATAACTCATATATATATATATATAGTCAATTTTCTCGAACGAACAAATATTCTATTTGCTTTATATTCAAGAATTCTCGCAAGAATCGTAATCGACGATAAAAACGTTATATATAATCGTTATACATAATCGTCAATTCAAAATTATTTAAATTAATTGTTTATTAATTTCTCGAATTAAATACGAAAATAGATATTTCTTAATATATATGCATTTCAAATATAAATCTTCTGCTTGTAGAAAACAATCTGATATTTGGGAGATGCAAATGCGAAGTCGTAATTTATGAAGTCTCTATTTTGACAGGAAAAATCGGAGCACCACTGTTGAGAGCTACGAACGCTCTAAGAACGGTTGAGAATAGAAAGAAAGAAGAGCAAGCAAAAGAGAAGGAGAGAAAGAATGCTAAGTCGTGGAAAGCGAAGGGGAAGGAGCGAGGTGAAACTCGCAATTGTCGTTTCCATAGTGATATATCTCGAAAGTCCGACCAGGAGCATCCATAAGGGTGCAACAATCAACTCTGTCAATTTTGAGTATCTTGTGTCTTTGTTCAACATTTGGTGTTCAACAAGGATAAAATGATACTCAGGTTGAAAATGATAGCTCTGTTACTTTTAGCTAAAGTTCTTGCGCAGTTCATCTTTTTTCCTTTTCTCTCCAGAGAAGAAGTTAGAGGGAAAAAGAGAAAAGATGAACCGTGCAAGTTTAATTAAAAAGAACAAGTCTAGAATTAAATTTTGGAACATATCCCAGGAATTATCCCAGAGACATTCTTCCTATGCCCATGATTGTAAGAATACGAGGTGTATGTACCATTGCGCATAATAATGGCGATAGCAATACATGGAAACAACCAATCAAATTTTGGCCTTAAATTCACTCTTCTACTACGTATTCTCGGAAATGGTATACCTTGGGCGTTATTCATAGTCAGATCTTATATTCAAGACTGTCTAAGAAATCACGAACCAATCAGAGGGCTGTATTAGCGTCTTAAGACATTACTTCAGATAATCTTAAAATAAGAACGGACTATGGGCGGTATTCATTGTCTATTCTTATTTCAAGATTGTCTTAAGTAAAGTCTTAAGACACTAATACAGCTCTCTGATTGGTTTGTGACTTCTTAAGACTGTACTTAAGGCCGGAATCAGACTACGCGTTGAAAAATAAGATTGAAGATTAAAAGATTGATATTTGACCAATCAGAACAAAAGGAGCTAAAATTTCTTTATCCTCATTGGTTTTCAAATTTCAATCTTTAATCTTTAATCTCAATCTTCAATGCATAGATGATTCCAACTTAAGACGGTCTTGAATATAAGATTTGACTATGAATACCGCCCTATGAGTATCGCTCCTTGTCTTTTTATATCATGATTATGCCTAGTTCAGATTGGACGCAGCAAGCGTCAAACAGCGGAGCAACAGCCAATCAATGAAACGATATTTACAGTGGCGTAAAAAATATCACCTTGCTGGTTACTGTTCCACTGCTTGCTGCGTCCAGTCCAAACTAGGCATAAGACGTAAACAGTAAGTAAATTGGCCAATCACAGTAAAGACCGTAGGCCAGTAGCGAATGGCTGCGTTCAGCGGACTCAACAGTTGAGTGTGCACTCGCTGTTTATTGGTGTATTCTTTCAGATCATTCAATTAGCATTTTAGATTTGGAAGAATATATCAATAGCAGCCAATGATTTCTTTACTGCTTAAGCGGAGAGCACAGACTCTTGCATAACGCATAACATAAGATGCGTTCAGTAATGTAAATCTGAGTTGCGAGCTAGCATCTTCGAGAAATCTGGATGCCAAGAAATAATTCCGAACGATACAGAGCTATAAACTGTCCTTTAAGATTTTAGATTATAAAATAAAATTATTTATTTTTAGGAAATAAATACAAATATCCTATTAATTGAAAATATCTTTTGTTTTACTAAAAACTGATAATAATTTTATATACTAAACATAGATCGCTACACATGAATGTAGCAGACTCATACGCAAGGTGTGTTTTCTTAAAAGAAAATACTACATTGCAAATAAGTTTCAGCAATTTGAAATGTATAAGTTATATCATTTGATTTATATTCATTAAAGTCTTTAATATATTAATACAGTGATTTGATTTTATTTCATTCTGTATGTGCAACATAAGCTTTGATCTAAAAATTAACTAACAAATTCTTTGTTTTCAAATACGTAATTTAAAATTCATAAAGAGGAAAAGAATTAAAAACTTACTTTCCTCATTAAATATTGTACATAATGTACTCCATCAATTTCTATTTGTTTGTGCGTTTATAAATTCAGATATTATAACAGTTCAAATGTACTATTTGTAAAATAGAAGAGATAAATGTACGTAACGTGTTAACAAATCAGTTGGATACATTATCATAAATATACAGATTATTTAATTTAGGCGCGAAAGTCTGCATTAGCTCTGCGAGCTCGGTCTTTGAATCCGAAGTGGATCAAACAGCTCGATTGGCTCTAGAAATGTTAATATCGAACGCAGATGAGATGACATGTAGAAAGATGTAAGTTGCCGAACGATTTTCGAGGTAAAAGAGCAAACGGACGTCTCCGATTTGCAATGCCAAAAAAAACTACATAAGCCATAAGAAATTCAACCAATCAGAGTTCTTTATTTTATGGAAAGAAAGGAAACGAAGGACTTTTATTGATTTAGTTTCTTATGCATTACGTGTTATGCGTTATGCAAGAGTTTGTGTTCCCGCTTTATGGCATATCCACACATACTTATATAGCCACATAAACGTATGCATAAAGAGAATTATCCAATCGCATTTCTCTTATAAAATCGCATGTAAAGTAATTGAATACTTTTCTTTATGCTATATGCTTACTACGACTACGGTCCACTTGACGCTACAAATGCTTTGAAGCATTTTTTGATTGGTTAATTAGTAAAATTCTTTCCTCCGATTGATTAATCAAAAGCTTCAAAGCATTTGTAGCGCCAAATGGACCGCACCCTACCTTATACATGTGCCATAAATACGAAAAATCGATGTAAAACTAATCCGGTTTGACCGCAATACTGTCAAGAAATAATGCACCGTTGAATTAAAAAATGTGGAACACAATGTGGAACGTATTGTGGCATTATCTGCTGAAACTGCTTGGAACTTTATAACCAAATCAGGATTATCGACTAAAGGTCGGTATTCACTAACCGTGAATTTTGCTTATAGTTTGCGGAAATTCGATATAGATGGCGTTGACAGTGACTTTTAAATATTGGGTTGGGAAAAAAGT